CTAGCTTGTACTTATTTGAACAATGTCTAAGAACTTGGTATTACAACCACTTCCTGTGTCTGTTTGCCTCTTAAGAAGAATCGCTTTATGTATCACCCAATTGTAAGTCGCTTTGGATAAAAGCGTCTGCTAAATGACTAAATGTAAATGTAAATGTAAAATTGTTAATATTTAAATAATCAGTTGTCAGTTCTATTAATTTTATATTATTATTTGTTTTTATTATTCATATTTATTAATTTGGTCACTTTTTTTTTAAGGTCCAGTTCTCACTATTAACTACGACTTTTGCCTCAATAAACTTCTCTGCTACATTTTCTATGGGTTTACCACAGTAACTGTAGTTTTTCTCTCTCTCTCTCTCTCTCTCTCTCTCTCTCTCCTGCTCAAGGTTTGTCAGTATTACAGTCCCAGTTTTGTTTCACTAAAAGAGAAACAGAAAGAGCTTCAGTTAAAAACAGATAAAGGAATCCTTCACTCAAAAATGAAAATTCTGAAAATTCATTCGTATTCATGCATATTCCAACTAACGCAACACAATTGGTCACAACACAATGGAGAGAGAGCGTAAGCGTGAACGAGGTTTACAGTGAATAATTATTTAAATTTCTGTCTGTTTCAGTGTTATTTTAGTACAAATTATATATAATCATTGTTTTTAGTAATATTGTACCTTAGCTTTTATTTTTTCATTTTTAATTTTTCATTTAAATGTAATTTTAATTGTACTAATTTATAATTTTGTTATGTGCTATTGTTTTCATTTATTTATTTATTTATAGGTTTAATGGATTTTTATTTCAGTTTTAGTTTTTATTCAGTTTTAGTTTTTTTTATTTCCAGTTAGTAATTTCAGTGATTCAGTTATTTGCCAAGGCAACATTTCTCATTTTTTCCCACAGTTTTTATCTAATATGTGTATACCTTTATTTCAGTTAACAAAAAGATATTAATAGTTTATTTTTAGTCAACAAAAATAATAAATAAATAATAAATAGATTAATTAATTAATTAGAATAGCATTAGAGTGTTATTTTAGTATTATTTATATACAAGTATGTATTAATTGTTTGAATTCGCTTTTTTATATTTACAGTTTTCATTGTAATTTTAGTTTTACATGTAAAAATTGTATTTGCCAAGTTTGTCAGTTTTAATAGTTTTTTATATTTCTGTTTTGCTTTCATTTATTTTCACATATCATTTCATTTATTGAACTTAATTTTAGTACTTATTTTACAACTTAATATATTTTAGTTTTAATTTCAGTTTTATCAAATATTAATATTTTATTTTATTTCAGCTTTATTTTAGTTTTGGGTAACAAAACACTAGAGAGTGAGTAATTTTTGGGTGAACTATTCCTTTAAGCAAAGAAAACACATAATTTGATTAATTAAGGAGTGTGATTCTGTGTTTTAACTGCATGTGTGTGTTTTTGTGTGTGTTTGTTTTTGGTGGGCCAATTCGGCTTCATTCAACATCTGAATCTGATTTATTACCCGTTGACACTCTGGCATCTAATCATCTTCACAAACACACTCACACACTCTCATCTCAAGCTTCACACGGTGTTCTAACCAGCCGTGACGAGTGAAAAATTAATACGCTGATCAATTGCAATCCTGACAAGCATAAAGACTGTGTAGCTCCGCCCACAGTGAAATGTCAGAATCTGAATCAGATGAATCTGAATCAAATGAATCTGAATCAGTCAGTGGTTCGAAATTCTGGTTAGGACGCCGTGTCAGAGACTAGCTGAGATGCTGTCACCACTGACTTAACTAGTGCCAGTTTGAGCTGGTTGTGAATCTGACCTCCAAGTCAAGTGGTGCACTCTTTGCCCTCTGTGACCTCTCCTGTGCCGGCTGTAACCTGATGCCTGTGTGTGACCCCTGACCCAGGATGCAGACGTCCAGCACCACCTGCAGCCTGGGCTTGGCTGACGAGAACGCAGTGATGCAGGCGGATGACGCGCTGAAGACCGTCCACCTGGAGCTGACGGAGACCTGTCTGGACATGATGGCGCGATACGTCTTCTCCAACTTCTCTGCCCTGCCCAAGAGGTGATGCCTGTTCACCACAAACTAGACTTTACAATTCGTTTGAATTCACAGCCCTAATTTAATCAAATTAACAGTTCAATTAATCACAATTAACGCTTCAACATTTGCAGTTGAATATCAATGTTTGATTAGAAAAGCCAGTAATTGAAGATAAAATTCAAAATGTTACGTTATCATGTCAGATACAGAGTTGAATCAGGAGACATAATTAATTTAATAATCATATATTTGATTCTTTTAATTAATGAAAAAATACACAATCATTACTCCTGATTTAACACTTATATATTATATATTAAAACAAAATGTAACAAAATAATATTAATTGCACTAAATTAATGCATTAAATTGATAATTGTCCTACAATTGCTGAAGTAATTAGTATTAGTATTTTTAAAATAAAATGAAAAATAATAATAATAATAAAAAAGTTGCCTTAAAACTGAGTTAATTATTGATGTTTAAAAATTAAAATAAAATAAGTCATAATAATAATTGCCTATGTTAAACTGAAACAGTGAGTAATTGTGTTAACTTTTTGAAATGTTTTATTTTTATTAATGTGCATTTTAAAATTAAATAAATAATAATAATAATAGCTGCCTTTAAACTGTAACAGTTAGCAATTTATGTTTAAAATTTAAATGTAATTAAATAATATTATTTAAAATAGTAATAGTAATTGCCCTACTTAAAAACTGAAACAGTGAGTAATTGTGTACATTTTGTTTGACTAACAGTACTAAAACAATACAAATATTTGTTTTCATTATGCAAGTCATATGCAAGTCATTTTTTTTTCTTATTTATGCCAACCAAAACTCACTGACCAGTCTTTTAGGGTCTGTCAATGCACCAAAAGCTGTTTTAGCATCTGACTTTAAAAGAATTGTAATTTCATTCATTTGTTAGTCACTTTGATATGAAGTGTCTGCTAAATGAATAGATGCATTGAAGCTGCACGCAGAGCTGCTGTTGTCTCTGCTTTTTCTCTTTCTTTCATTTTAGGTTGGTTTACACACTTGGGTAGAGCTGTAATTGCTTGACCTTCATCCTTTTTTTCGGTGTCTGTGTGCAAACCTTTAAATAGTACTTGGCTTTCATCTCTGCGGTGTATGACGAATGCAGGCCATTGAATGCTGCATCGATTCACCTTTTGTACCAGAGTAAACTTCTTTGTCAGTCTGTCTTACAATAGTTGTTTCGCTTTCTGTGTGAATGGACACATCAACCCATATCCTTATTCGACCAGTTGTTTTGGGAAGTGTAGCATCTACTTTTAGCATATGAGCAGCAAACTCTTGTCAGAAATGGATGTGTAAGTGTTTTTGTTCACAATAGCATCTCCAGTGTCCTGTGGCTCTGTGTGACACTAAATAAAGATGATTAATGGGCTTTTATAAACTCTCTTTCTCTCTCTCAGGTCTCCCATTGCAGAGTTCCTGTTATCCGGTGGCCCCAGTATGACTTGGCTGGTTGGGAATAAGTTAGTCACCATAACGACCAGCGGTGGGTCACGAACCCAAGCCCTTCTGGGTCTGGACATGGCAGAGAGACCTGGAGGAGGAGGAATGACCAGGTTACAAACATAGACCACCTTGTTTGTCACCAGCCAATGAGGTTCAGGCTATTACTATTAGGGTTGCAAAGGGGTGGAAAACTTCCAAAAATCCCTGGAATATTCCAAAAAAATCCTGGAAAGTTTCCAAAATTTCTGAAATTTACTGGAAATTTCCCACCTTTTTGCAACCCTAGTTACTACAGGCTATTACTTTAGAGTGGTATTACCATAGTATTTTTTTAAAGGTATCTTGGTATGAAGTGCATTGGTACATTTCAAAGTACTGCCACCGTACTTTCTGAAAAGACCTTTTATTCACTTCTTGTTCTGTACTTTAGACTAACTCTAACCCTGAAATATGATTGTTTGGCATTGTTAGATGTGTTTTAAAGGGATAGTTCATGAATGTTTCGACACAAACAGGAAAAGGATCAGCCTCAACCATATGACTGTGTTTACTGGTCTCATCAGATTCATGGGAAAACATAAAAACAAATACAAACATGAATCTCCTGCAGGTCTGACCCGTCATTACACACCCGACAGACGAAAGAGGCTCCTGCTAAACTCGAGTCACAGTCCGGCCAGCAGATCGGCTCCAGCACTCGCACACGCGTCCGCTCCATATCAGGTGACAGTGTACACACACACACTTTCCCTGAGCTTTTCTTGGTTTTTAAAGTTTTTGACCATTTTCCACTTTTGGCTACTGTAACCTTTAAGACTTCTATATGTAAATGACTTCTTTCTTTACTGTCTATCCTTCCGTATGAAAGCAGTTCCTCAGCCAAGCTGTTGAATACTTAATGTACATATGTAAATATATGGCCAGTCGTACATGAAATTACAATCTTAAAGCGACAGTTCACTCAAAATGCCAATTCTGTCATCATTTACTCACCCATACGTCATCTGCTGGACGCCACTCTCTTGTGAACGTGTGTACGACAGTTAGAGGAAGCTAGAGATTAAGGTTTATAAAGTTGTAAATATGGATATTTTTCTTACACAAACGCATCGCTTCGCTTCGGGAGGCCTTTATTAACCCTCCGGAGCCGTGTGGACTTCTTTTATAATGGATGGGTGCGATTTTTTTTTTTCCACTTCAAATTTTGGGCTACCATCCACTCCCATTATAAAGAATGGATTAGCCTGGACATCATTTAATATAACTCCAGTCGTATTTGTCTGAAAGAAGAATGTCATATACACCTAGGATGGCTTGAGGGTGAGTAAATCATGGGGTAATTTTAAGTTTTGGGTGCGCTTTCATTCTCTCTCCAGGTGGTCACGCTCTGCGGGCCGGTCCGGCTCAGAGTCTCAGTCCCCTGGTGGCGTCTCCTGAGGGCGAGTACAGCGGCCCACTGCCTCCGCCGGGCCACCCGCTGGAGGTGCTGGGGTCTCAGAGGGGAGTGGAGGAGCACCCGGCACCCCCCTTCTTCTCCCAGTCCTCAGCGCTGCTCAAAGACAAGTCCAGCCTGGCCGAGTTTGTGCCCATGCTGACGCAGGGCTGGGCCGAGATCTTCATCCGCAGACCCTCAGGTACGACAGACGCACTTAACATGCCCAAAATATCCGGGGGCGCGTTAACGGGTGCGTGCTTTACCTCGTAACATTGACCCGGGCTGTAATTATCGCCCACTCGCTCTCAATTATGCCACATTTGTGCACGGCACTAAAATTAAATCATCATAACTTCATTCCACGGGCATTTGAGACGCACATGAGCGCACATGCGGCCCGCAGGGGAGGCCATGCCATTTTGAAAGTTTCATAATAATTTGACTCACACCTGCCGTGCCCACGGGCTCGATTTTCTTCAGCTTTTCTTCTCCATCTGCCTCTAGATGAAAAATAGCTCGGGAGCATTTCTCAGATTTTTTTTTCTTTTTTCTTAATTACGACGTGTCCTTGAGTGCTTCACTTCTTGTAGAATAACACATGACGAGATGTTTTTCAATGTGATTCCTGAGGATTTCAGAGGATTGCTATTTTGGTTTTGTTCCTTTCTGTGTTTGTCTGTCACGTTTTGTGTCTTTCTTTCATGAGTCAGTTTTAAAGGGCTCTTGCTTCACACCGAACAGCTTTTATGCATTTTATTTTCTTTGTCTTTTTTATGATCTCTCTCTTTTGCTCTCTCTCTCTCAGAGTTCAGTTCAGTTTAGTTCAGTTTATATTATAAGAAAAATAAAAAAGTAAAATAAAAATAAAATCATTTTAATTGTATTAAAAATAAATACATTTTAGCATTAAAGATCAGCATAAAATTGGACAAAAATAAAATCTGAAAAGGGCCACTCTTGTTATGTGTAAAATGACCAGAGCTTGAAAACAACACTGAAAAATCAAGAAGTTAGACGGGTTGCAATGTGTGATGTCACTTCCTACCCAGAAAGGAAACTTTTGGCTGTTCGGAAACAAATGAAATACTAGTTTAAATATGTGCTTTTTTCCAAAAGTCAAATTTTTTT